TTCAAATTTCCTGTGATTACCTGTACAATTTCAATCAAGTGCATGTGATGGCCTGGTTGATTTGTCTGAGATTTTACCTTACAGTGTCAAATATTGGAGGGGCCAGCTCAATGAAAGAACAAAATGGCGTCAATGGCAGAACTTTTACTTTCAAAAAGACATTAACTGGACCAGACTCTTTTTTACAGGACATTTACACATATGATTGGGTCAAAATACAAAAATTTACGGGTCATTTGGTCCAGTAATGTATATCACTTCACTGGACCAAACCAATTTTTACTGGTCTTTGCCCAATATCCAGCGACCTTGGGAATGACTAGGATAAGCAAAACGCAAAATCGTGTAAATTTACATACCATTATTGATAATCAAGTTAACTATCCAATTTTCAATTGATTTTAATTAAATATCATTTCAAATCAATATAAACAGAGGATTGCTTGGGTTTGAAATGGCATTTAATTATTCATAGAAACAATCATGTAATTAATTTGTACCAGTACCAACTGTGTCATCTCTATTTTTCTCTGAGTGTATAAATATTGTTATTTGTCTGTTCCTGAAAGACCTATCTCGGAATTGGAACTCTTTCTATGCTTTTGCATAACTTTTATTTTTAAATAGAATTATTTCTTATGTCAAATTTTGGTTATGATATCTATAAAGGAGAATGTTTGTAGCCCAATTCTTGAATTGTTCCTGACTGCTTTGAATTTGTATTTTAACCAGTGAGATGAATCATGTCCCCTTTCTTTCACAAAATTAGTATTTAAATAGAAAGTTGTATCCTTTCCAATATTACTTTCTAAAAAAAATAAAGGTTATGTTATGTTAAAATGTTTGAATTCCTTGGTATGGGCCTGTCAGAAAAATAAATTTCACTACAAGGCAGTAATACTTTCACTATATTAACTCATGTTTCTTGCATATTATTTTAAATAAATTCTCACATCAATACATATAATACATTATTCTATTTTCTAATTATTTGGTCAGCATTTAATAAAATGCTTCGCTGGGCGCAGCTTGATACGACCGCAGAGGTCGAACCCTGAACAGTTGGGGCAAGTATGGACACAACATTCAAGCTTGATACAGCTCTGAATTTGGATTGTGATTAAATATTTGACACAGCATAGGTTTCTGACACAGAAAGAATGTGGTCTAAGAACTTCAATTTTTTTAATTTACCTATTATGGTCCAATGTCCAAAATCAAAATACATGGTTAGATTCAGCATATCAAAGAACCCCATATATTCAATTTTTGTTGAAATCGAACAAAGTTTAATTTTGGACCCCAACTTGGACAAACTTGAAAACTGGTCCCATAATCAAAAATCTAAACACATGTTTAGATTCAGCATATCAAAGTACCCCAAGAATTCAATTTTTGTTAAAATCAAACTAAGTTTAATTTTGGACCCTTTGGACCTTAATGTAGACCAATTTAAAAAACGGGACCCAAAATTAAAAATCTAAAAACACGGTTAGATTTGGCATATCAAAGAACCCCAATAATTCAATTTTTGATGAAATCAAACAAAGTTTAATTTTGGACCCTTTTGACCTCAATATGAACCAATTTGATAGCAGGCCCACAAAATAAAAAATCTAAATACATGGTAAGATTCAGCATATCAAAGAACCCCATATATTCAATTTTTGTTGAAATCAAACAAAGTTTAATTTTGGACCCCAATTTGGACCAACTTGAAAACTGGGCCAAAAATCTAAAATCTAAATACATGTTTAGATTCAGCATATCAAAGAACCCCATATATTCAATTTTTGTTGAAATCAAACAAAGTTTAATTTTGGACCCCAACTTGGACCAACTTGAAAACTGGGCCCGTAATCAAAAATCTAAACACATGTTTAGATTCAGCATATCAAAGAACCCCAAGAATTCAATTTTTGTTAAAATCAAACTAAGTTTAATTTTGGACCCTTTGGACCTTAATGTAGACCAATTTAAAAATGGGACCCAAAATTAAAAATCTAAATACACGGTTAGATTTGGCATATCAAAGAACCCCAATAATTCAATTTTTGATGAAATCAAACAAAGTTTAATTTTGGACCCTTTTGACCTCAATATGAACCAATTTGATAGCGGGTCCACAAATAAAAAATCTAAATACATGGTTAGATTCAGCATATCAAAGAACCCCAAGAATTCAATTTTTGATGAAATCAAACAAAGTTTAATTTTGGACCCTTTTGACCTCAATGTGGACAAAGTTGATAACGGGGCCCAAAAATCAAAAATCTAAATACATGGTTAGATTCAGCATATCAAAGAACCCCATATATTCAATTTTTGTTGAAATCAAACAAAGTTTAATTTTGGACCCCGATTTGGACCAACTTGAAAACTGGGCCCATAATAAAAAATCTAAATACATGTTTAGATTCAGCATATCAAAGTACCCTAAAAATTCAATTTTTGTTAAAATCAAACTAAGTTTAATTTTGGACCCTTTGGACCTTAATGTAGACCAATTTAAAAAACGGGACCCAAAATTAAAAATCTAAAAACACGGTTAGATTTGGCATATCAAAGAACCCCAATAATTCAATTTTTGATGAAATCAAACAAAGTTTAATTTTGGACCCTTTTGACCTCAATATGAACCAATTTGATAGCAGGCCCACAAAATAAAAAATCTAAATACATGGTAAGATTCAGCATATCAAAGAACCCCATATATTCAATTTTTGTTGAAATCAAACAAAGTTTAATTTTGGACCCCAATTTGGACCAACTTGAAAACTGGGCCAAAAATCTAAAATCTAAATACATGTTTAGATTCAGCATATCAAAGAACCCCATATATTCAATTTTTGTTGAAATCAAACAAAGTTTAATTTTGGACCCCAACTTGGACCAACTTGAAAACTGGGCCCGTAATCAAAAATCTAAACACATGTTTAGATTCAGCATATCAAAGAACCCCAAGAATTCAATTTTTGTTAAAATCAAACTAAGTTTAATTTTGGACCCTTTGGACCTTAATGTAGACCAATTTAAAAATGGGACCCAAAATTAAAAATCTAAATACACGGTTAGATTTGGCATATCAAAGAACCCCAATAATTCAATTTTTGATGAAATCAAACAAAGTTTAATTTTGGACCCTTTTGACCTCAATATGAACCAATTTGATAGCGGGTCCACAAATAAAAAATCTAAATACATGGTTAGATTCAGCATATCAAAGAACCCCAAGAATTCAATTTTTGATGAAATCAAACAAAGTTTAATTTTGGACCCTTTTGACCTCAATGTGGACAAAGTTGATAACGGGGCCCAAAAATCAAAAATCTAAATACATGGTTAGATTCAGCATATCAAAGAACCCCATATATTCAATTTTTGTTGAAATCAAACAAAGTTTAATTTTGGACCCCGATTTGGACCAACTTGAAAACTGGGCCCATAATAAAAAATCTAAATACATGTTTAGATTCAGCATATCAAAGTACCCTAAAAATTCAATTTTTGTTAAAATCAAACTAAGTTTAATTTTGGACCCTTTTGACCTTAATGTAGACCAATTTGAAAACGGAACCAAAAATTAAGAAACTAAATACACGGTTAGATTTGGCATATCAAAGAACCCCAATAATTCAATTTTTGATGAAATCAAACAAAGTTAAATTTTGGACCCTTTGGACCTCAATGTGGACCAATTTAAAAACGGGGCCCAAAATCCAAAAACTTAATACACGGTTAGATTCAGCATATTAAAGAACCCCAAGAATTCAAGAATAAAACCCCATTGAAATTGATCAAGAAATAAGCAATTTATACGAAGTATCTTCTTTTGCACAATACTGTGCAATTGAATATTTCTTGCTATTGTGCAATACTGTACAATTGACAATTTCTTGCTATTGCGCAATATTGTGCTATTGGATATTTCTTGCTATTGCGCAATACTGTGCAATTGAAGATTTCTTGCTATTGCGCAATACTGTGCAATTGAAGATTTCTTTCAATTGTGCAATACTGTGCAATTGAAAATTTCTTGCTATTGCACAATACTTATTATATAATAATTTACACATCCTGTTTGGTGTGTATCTCCTACCATATCATTATTATTTGCTTTTAAATATTAATCAGAAATACCCAACTTAAAATGGAAAATTTTAAAAGAAAAAAAAAAGGAAAAAAAGAAAAAAAAAGAAAAAAAAAAATCCCCCCCCCCCAAATTTTTTGAACCCCCTTATGATTCATCACCCCAAAACTCAATCCCAGCCTTCCCTTTGTGGTATGGTACCTTGCAGTACAATTTCAGAGCGATCCATACACTTAAACACAAGTTATTGTCTGGAAACTAGAAAAATGCTTATTTTTGGCCCCTTTTTGGCCCCCAATTCCTAAACGTTTCGGGCAATTACCCCCAAACTCAATTCCAGCTTTCCCTTTGTGATATGGAACCTTGTAGTACAATTTCAGAAATATCCAAACACTTACACACAAGTTATTGTCATGAAACTAGAAAAATGCTTGTTTTTTGCCCCTTTTTTGGCCCCTAATTCCTAAAATTTTGAGGCAATTACCCCCAAAATCAATTACAGCCTTCCCTTTGTGATATGGAACCTTGTGGTACAATGTCAGAGAGATCCATACACTTACATACAAGTTATGTCTGGAAGTTACAAAAATGCTTATTTTTGGCCCCTTTTTGGCCCCTAATTCCTTAACTGTTGGTACCATAACCCCCAAAATCAATCCCCACCTTCCTTTCGTGGTATTTAACCTTATGGTAAAATTTCATGGAGATCCATTCACTTAAACTAAAGTTAGAGTGCGAAAACCAATGTGTCTTCGGACGACGCCGGACGACGCCAGACGACGACGACGACGACGAAGACGACGACGACGCCAACGTCATACCAATATACGACCAAAAAATTTTCAATTTTTGCGGTCGTATAAAAAGTAGAAAATAAAGCAGAGTATACAATATATAAATATCTTCTTACCTTGAAGTAGCCATGTTTGATCAGAGATTTGAGGTATCTTTGCCATCTTACATCATCCACTGATAAGTTGTGGCCATTTGAATTTTGTTCTTGTCTCTCAGAACACTTTGAACATAAAATTTCAAAGCCATGAGCCTATAAAAATATGATAATATATAAGTTGATTTGTAACAAGATTAGATTTGTGTGTAGGACATACACACTAAATACGAAATTTTCATGTGTAGGTCAAGAGTTTAATGCTGTTCATACTTTCCTAAACATTCAAGAACTGTGTTTCACAATATAGTAAGACTGCAGATATGTATATTTCAATAATGCCTGTAAATAGACCATAAAATGTGTGTCATTGTTACCAATTTAATTGAATTATTTGTACCCTACAACAAAATCATTACAATGAACATCTCTCTTATTCCATCATAGAGTTTCTGAGATATAGACCTAAATAAAATGCTCCGCTGGGCGCAGCTTGATATGACCGCAGAGGTCGAACCCTGAACAGTTGGGACAAGTATGGACACAACATTCAAGCTTGATACAGCACTGAATTTGGATTGTGATTAAATATTTGACACAGCATAGGTTTCTGACACAGAATGAATGTAATCTAAGAACTTAAAAATTTTTAATTTACCTATTCAAACCATATTATTATTATTTGCTTTTATATATAAATCAGAAATAACCAATTTAAAATGGAAAATTTTAAAGAAAAAAAAGGAAAAAAAATCCCCCCCCCCCAATTTTTTTAACCCCCTTATGATTCATCACCCCCAAACTCAATCCTAGCCTTCCCTTTGTGGTATGGTACCTTGCAGTACAATTTCAGAGAGATCCATACACTTGAACACAAGTTATTGTCTGGAAACTAGAAAAATGCTTGTTTTTTGGCCCCTTTTTGGCCCCTTATTCCTAAACGTTCAAGGCAATTACCCCCAAACTCAAACCCAGCTTTCTCTTTGTGATATGGAAGCTTGTAGTACAATTTCATAAAGATCCATACACTTACACACCAGTTATTGTCCTGAAACTAGAAAAATGCTTGTTTTTTTGCCCCTTTTTGGCCCCTAATTCCTAAAATTCTGAGGCAATTACCCCCAAAATCAATTCCAGCCTTCCCTTTGTGGTATGGTACCTTGCAGTACAATTTCAGAGAGAGATCCATACACTTGAACACAAGTTATTGTCTGGAAACTAGAAAAATGCTTATTTTTGGCCCTTTTTTGGCCCCTTTTTCCTAAACATTTTGGGCAATTACCCCCAAACTCAATTCCAGCTTTCCCTTTGTGATATGGAACCTTGTAGTACAATTTAATAAAGATCCATAATCTTACACACAAGTTATTGTCATGAAACTAGAAAAATGCTTGTTTTTTGCCCCTTTTTTTGCCCCTAATTCCTAAAATTTGGAGGCAATTACCCCCTAAATCAATCCCAGCATTCCCTTTGTGATATGGAGCCTTGTAAGTTATGTCTGGAAGTTACAAAAATGCATATTTTTGGCCCCTTTTTGGCCCCTAATTCCTTAACTGTTGGTACCCTAACCCCCAAAATCAATCCCAACCTTCCTTTTGTGGTATTGAACCTTATGGTAAAATTTCATAGAATTCCATTCACTTAAACTAAAGTTAGAGTGCGAAAACCAATGTGTCTTCGGACGACGACGACAACGCCAACGTCATACCAATATACGACCACAAAATTTGTTTGCGGTCGTATAAAAAATGACTTAACAAAAGTCACTCATGCTAGAAAAAAAATTGCTCATAGTGACCAAAATATTTCTAAACTGCACTGATCAATCTGTATGGATTATAGTAGTGGTCATATACTATTGATGAATAATCCAAAATTTCTGAGAAATGGACTTAAAAGGACATAAATAGGTAATCAATTTTCTCTTTTGAATTGTTTTTACATTTTGTCACAGTGGGGCTTTTATGTCCATTTGAGCATTTACCAGAGTATATCTATTGTAACATAATCTTATTGTGCTGCATAAGACTATGTAACATTGAAATGATGCTAAAATATAGATATATTAAAAAAATCACACAATAAGTCATCAAACCAGTGGGAAATAGACATATGCATATCCAGATCTTTAACTAATTCCTCATTCCATGACAGAAATAGACTTATGCATATTTAGAACACTCACTAATTCCTCATTCAATGACAGAAATAGACGTGCATAATTAGATCCTTAACTAATTCCTCATTCCGTGACAGAAAAGGGAAAGCAACATTTGAAGTGGGGCATATAAATAATCATCTATTAACATACTATAATTAATGTCAATTAAAAATATCAATTTTTGAAATAACAAATGAAAATTTGTGTAACGGCTTAATCATGTGATCTACTAACATATTTTGTTGTGATATCATTTGAAATTGCACAGCAATCTAAATTATAAAATATAATAGGGGGTTTGATATCATTTGAAATTGCACAGCAATCTAAATTATAAAATATAATAGGGGGTTTGGAAAGCACTACAATTCACGTTTGATATGTGGTGATTATAATAGAAAATTATCCTTAACTGTTATAGGTAATAATCAATTAAGATCGTGTGCATGGCAGGGTAAAGAAAAAAGTTCCAACCTACTGACCCCCCCCCCCCCCCCCCCCCCCCCCATTTCCCACATGCCACTCTCATTTAGTTATTTCTTGAACAGCCCTTATAAAACTTTAAGAAAAGAGGTTCAAGTAATCAAGTAAATCCAGGAATTTCTGCAATGTTTTTGTAAGCACAATATTGCAACATGATGACAAATCAATCACTCTTCTATTTGTGTAGATAGATTTTTTATTAGTAAATAAAAGAAGACAAGAATCGAGTTTGTCTGTCACCCTACAGTAGCTCTTATCAACATATATTTTATGGGGAGACAGACTCCATAAGATTGGTGCTCACCAATTTCATGCCGAGATCATGTGACAAATATTTAGGGTTTGATGTGCTGGGCATCTGAAATCCACTGCGCTTGTCAGGTTGAAATTCTTGTTGTACCAGCTGAGCATACAAACATCGTGTGAATTTTACCTGTAAAAATATTGTAGTTTCACAAATATGTTATATCTGATTTCAATATCTTTTTTTATCTACTTATAATACTATTATTAGCAATATAGCTGTCAATACAGGCATTTGTCTCACTGGTTCTGCTACAAACATAAAACAACAATTTGATGGGTTGCACTATTACTGTCTGCATATGGGACTGGATCAGTCACACTCTTTGAATCTTATCTTGGATTGTCAGTGGGTTTAACCATTATCCTACTACAATTCATTAAGGCAGCAATGTCATGCTTTAAGTGAGTCTGATTTAAAATTTGAGGAATAAATGCACCCCGTCCCAAACTAGCATCCTCATTAATGGTTGTCTGTGGTAAAACCATGCATGATTTTTTAACAGAATTTGGTGCTGATGGTAGATATTTGGTTTTCTCCTTTCCATTTATTTCACAATCTTTCTATACTGGAGCTTAACATATTGTATAGACACTTGTTGATTGTTCAAGACCAAAGTATGCTACCACTATTACTACTTTGGTTTTTTGTGTAATTGGGTTTCTGTCTTGTTGAAAAATTCAGTAAACAAACTAATTTGCAGGACTATTTTATTTATGAGACTTTCTTGAGTAGGAAAATAAGGCCAACTAAAAATAATTAGATTTTCATCCAGATTTTTTTTTTAAATGAGGCGGGTGGGAGGATTTTATTTTTTAATTTTTATTTCTTCTGAAACCCTTTTGTAATGTATTCTTCATATGCAAGGGTAATAATAAGCTTATTTCATATATATATATATATTTGAACGTTGTTTTCAATTTAGACTTGTATATATACAACTTGTCTAAACATCAGCCCAACAATGTTAGATTTGTAAATTTGCTTTACATTGTTGGGCTGATGTTTAGACGAGTTGTATATACAGAATGTACACAGCCATGTATCACCATCACTGCTGGTGATCTGATGGATAAATCTGTTGTAGAGTTGTCACTGGTTCAGACGTACTTATATATATATATATATAATCTGGATCTGGTGTACAAATTTTAGCACCTCATGTTTGTGGTTTACCAACTTTGCCGCAAGTTTATTGTTTTCTATTTGGTATTAAATTAATATGAAGATCCACTTTGTTACATCTTGTGATCAATTTATTTGGCAATTGTCAATGGCAGTCAGCAGGGTTTAAGAACATCAGTTGTTCGTCCTGTTAGTCAAATGCGTTTTGTTAAAATATACTTTTTCACTTTTTCGGTCTTTTGGAAAATGTTGTTTGTGCTGTATTTAGACCCTTCTACAACGAAATTTGTTTTACATGCACACGTATAAAAATTGCGGTTTTTATCCAACGCAATCATAGGTTTGAACGTAGTTTTCAATTTAGACTTGTTTATATTTTTTCGTTTGGGCTTGTATCATATTTTCCCTCCGGTTTATATGATCCGTTCATCCTATTTTGACTCTTTAAAATTCAAGAGTCTATCCTAAATTGAGGTAAATTATATGGCCTTCCAAATACCATTTCAATCCCTAACATCACTGAAGAGACATTTATTGTTGAAATCTGGATCTGGTGTACAAATTTTAGGACCTCATGTTTGTGGTTTACCATCTTTGCCGCAAGTTTATTGTTTTCTATTTGGTATTAAATTAATATAAAGATCCACTTTGTTACATCTTGTGATCAATTTATTTGGCAATTGTCAATGGCAGTCAGCAGGGTTTAAAAACATCAGTTGTTCATCCTGTTAGTCAAATGTGATTTTGTTAAAATATACTTTTTCACTTTTTTGGTCTTTTGGAAAATGTTGTTTGTGCTGTATTTAGACCCTTCTACAACGAAATTTGTTTTACATGCACACGTATAAAAATCCAACGTGGTTTTGATACAGACCTTGATACAGGTCTGAATTTGGATTGTAATTAAATATTTGATATATTATAGGTTTCTGAATAAATGTAGTCAAAGAACTTGAAATTGGTTATATGAAAGATTTCTTGCTGTTGTGCAATACACTGTGCTGTTGCACAATTCTTCTGTTGTTAGACTATAAACAAATAAAATCTTATTACTCGGAAACGTAAAATCGAAAATTTATAAAAATCAAAAGGGAGCTTACAAAAATAGATATAAACTATTTACCAAAGTTTCATAAAAAAATGCTGAAAATGCTGAAAACTGGAAAATCCCCCTTTTTGTAATGAATAAAACCCCATAAATCGGAAACCTATATTCTGAAATTCATAAAAATCAAAAGGGAGCTCATGTCGATACAAATAAACAATTCACCAAAGTCTCATGCAAATTGGTGAAATTCTTTTTGAGTTATTGTCTGAAAACTGGAAACCCCCCCCCTTTTTTAATGAATAAAACCCCAAAACTCGGAAATGGTAAATCTGAAATTAATAAAAAAAGGAAAGGGAGCTCACATCAATAGATATGAACAATTCAAAAAGTTTCATGCAAATTGGTGAAATTTTTTTTGGGTAATTGTCCGAAAACTGGAAAATCCCCCCTTTTTTAATGAATAAAACCCCAAAACTCGGAAACAGTAAATCCGAAATTTATAAAAAAACAAAAGGGAGCTCACGTTAATAGATATGAACAATTCACAAAAGTTTCATGCAAATTGGTGAAATGTTTTTTGAGTTATTGTCTGAAAACTGAAAAATCCACCCTTTTTTAATGAATAAAACCCCAAAACTCGGAAATGGTAAATCTGAAATTTATAAAAAACGAAAGGGAGCTCACGTCAATAGATATAAACAATTCACCAAAGTTTCATGCATATTGGTTAAAGAGTTTTTGAATTAATGTCCGACATGTTGGCGACGGACGGACGGACGGACAGACGAACGGTCAACGGTATACCATAATACGTCCCGTAAATGGGCGTATAAAAACTGAAATTCGTAGAAATTCTTAAATAAAAAAAATCGGGGCGGGACGATTTTAGAGAGGCGGGCAGGGATGAAAATCTATCAATTAATCTTAATTGGCCAAAACTGAAAAATTTTAACGAAGACCTTCCTTTCATTGTATACATTTGTCATGTATCTTACTGAACAATTTCTACTTTTGGAATATATGGTATAGAAATATTATTGAAAACTGAGATGTTGGATTAACTTACCCTGGATACCACTCTAGTTCCTGGTCTAAAATATCTCATTGTTCTGCATGCCTGAAAGTATACCAAAGAAAAAAGTTGCATGTGTTGTCCTGCTAAGCATACTCCACATGTATTTCATAGTATAAAAAAAAACAGGAAGAAGTTGTCTGACGTTCAGAAAAGCACTCACATCTCACAACTTTTAACTGACACACTGCTGACCAAATGTGGTCATTATGTTTAGTATTTCATGAGAAAAGTGCTACGTAAATATTTATTTTCATACACACACTGAAAATTCAAAGTATCTGCAAACAGAAGGTGAGTTTCTATAGAGAGGAAGTAGGCGTCTGAAAGATCCAAAAATTGCTCACTTTTAAACTCAATAATGTCAAGTTGCTTACCAAATATAAAGGCATTCTGTTCAGTACTTCCTGAGAAAAGTGGGACAAAAATATCCTTTGTTCGATGAGTTGGAACAATGGACAAATGAGAGACAAGGTGATTGCAATAAAGCCCCACTCTAAGATTAGAGATATAATTATTCATTTAAGTTTACTAAGAACTATGCCAGAGCACATTTACATAACTAAACCAGCACTCTGACATCAGAGGTTGAAGTACAAACAAAGATTCATCACTCAAACATTTGCATTTTATATAAGCATATACATGATGCATCCACTTATTCTATCATGTATTTATCAAATATACAGCTGACTTCAAAATAAGTATTCATTTATCAAACATACATTAACAAAAAATCAAAATTTCGCAAGAAGTTAAAAACAACCAAATGAACAGATAATTTGTTTATCTTTAGTATACTATATAAAATAGAGTGGTAGCTAAAGAAGCTACATGTAATAACTATGTGTCTCGTATACAAATTCACCAAAACTGACCTAGAAATAAATGCAATGTGGGGTCTAGAAGCACATTTTTCAAAAACATACCATCCATAAAAAATTCAATATAAACCTCTAAACCAAAAATACATCATCACCAATAATAATTTTAATAATGTGCCTCCTAATCCCTTTATTTGATTATTTAGTTGCACAAAATTAAATTCTATTTACCTGTTTGGTAATTGTGTTAAGTATCAGGTACTAGCTTAAAAAAACAGAAGTTAGACAGATAACTGTGTAACCCTATAAATTGTTGGACAAACAGCTGAACAGAATATATAACAATATGCCTCTCAATTATTATAAAAGGAGCATAAATAAATCAGTTAATCAGAAAATCTTTAATAAATAACCCTCTTCCTTAGCAATGACCTTAAGGGACAAAGGAAATGAGGGTTAAAAGTCAATAAGACAGCATCCCAACAAAAAAATTATCAAAGTAAATTTTTTAGGGACAAAGGAAATGAGGGGTAATAAAGAGCTGCGTCATGAGCGTCACTTTTTCAATCGAATAAAGTTCAAGAACTCCTCAATGTCACATCAGAAATTTATAAAAAACTAAAGGGAGCTTATCATAATAGATATAAACCCGTCACCAAAGTTTCATGAAAACTGCTTAAAGCATTTTTGATTTATTTTCCGAAAACTGGAAAATCCCCCCTTCATTATGAATAAAATCCCATTACTGGAAACGTAAAATCTAAAATTTATAAAAATCTAAAGGGAGCTTACGTCAATAGATATAAACAATTCAAAGTTTCATGAAAATTAGTTAAAGTGTTTTTGAGTTATTGTCAGACATGTTCACGACAGACGGACAGACAGGCGGACGAAAGGACAGAGGTATACCATAATACGTCACAAAAATAGGACCTATAAAAATCAATAAGACAGCGTCCCAACAAAAAAGTTATCAAAGTAAATGTTTCTAAATGTCAAATGTTTCTAAATCCAATTTTCCCCATATTAATTTTTAAGGCTTCATCTGCCTCTTCTTTTACCTGTTTCCTTGATTTTCTGTTTGTGTGTTTCTATAAGACATAACTATGTTTTATTATATATTACAGAGGAGAAAAGAATGTTCTATCGCTAGGGTTATCACCCAGTATTATTAACCATCAAGTAAATCAAAAGTTTTTCAAACTGAGAATTCATTAAACATTGAAAAACAACTGAAATGAAAGTGGAGCAGAATTCAATAGATGAGCTAAAGGATATTTACTACTTTGTAAATTACCAGTATATTTACCTTCAAGTCTATGGGATCTCTGTAGTAGAATGCATTAACCCCTGCAGCTATTAATGATGGTTTTGTATCTAAAACAACAGCAAGATTGGCTGGGATGTAACAGTGAGCATAATGGACTTCTTTCTTCACTCTATCAGATAATCTACATATACAATATAATCATATAAATTATAACATAAACTTTGGGCAACACCTGTTTTACATGCATGGACCATAGTGATTGCCTATAATTGCTTACATCCACTTTATTTGAACTTTGGTGGATAGTTGTCTCATTGGCAATCATACCTCATCTACTTTTTATATATCCATTTTCTTTTACTGCACTATTTTCAAATGAAAATGACAAAGACAAAGCACAATTAACCATGAGTGGCCATTGGGCAGTAAATTATAACATTTTGTTATGTATTATGGGATGGTTATTTATTCCACATTTCACACCATACTGTATGGCAGGTACACCACTGGGGAGGTTATCTAAACAGGAGATTGTGGGATAGACTTTTAAAACTTACCCCTCAAACCTTTGTCTTACAGCATTATTTATTTCAGTGCTAGCCAGTGTGGCAGTGTTGTAGTTTCTGACACATTTCACAGCATACTGTATGGCAGTTATACCACTAAGGGTGGGTGGTTATCTGAACAGGAGATTGTGGGATAGACAGTTAAAACTTACCCCTCAAACCTTTGTCTTACAGCATTATTTATTTCAGTGCTAGCCAGTGTGGCAGTGTTGTAGTTTCTGACACATTTCACAGCATACTGAACGGCAGGTACACCACTAGGGAGGGTGGTTATCTGGGCAGGTGATTGTGGAAATGGAATTATGTGCAGATTTCCTTGAAAAATATAAACCTGAAAAAATAAACAATTCATTTGAAAAATTCAGCATTTTTACATATTCTTGATTGATATGCTGGAATAACATGTATAAAATATGCTTACATGAATTTGTACATAGAACAGTTATGTCATGTATGTGTTGGATTTAACCAACATGCTGAATTTACACAAACAGGGAGTAGTGCTACTGTCTATATTCATATTAAATTTGATGAAGATGTAATTTTTAAAGGGGCAATTTAAATGGCTCTCTGAACCAGGCAGAATGAATAATAAAATCTCCCTGTAATCATTCATTAAGTAGTATCAATATTTAGTTTGCTCAATTTTTTTAACATGGCAAAATCATTTGTTGTTCTTTATCTTAAAAAAGCTTTTCATTTCTAAATTTAACTATATACTTGATAATTACTGCATTTATATATGTAAAATATGTAACTGAATAATCATTTCCAGTGGTTTTTTTTACAACATTCATTTTGTATCATGCTAGTCGTGTTTTTAATTTTTACTAGTAGCAGCTGCTTTTCCTGTAACATGTTACATAATTTCAACAAAAAAATGCTATAAATTTTGGAGATAAATACTCTATTTTCAGCAGTATCAGGTTCCAGCCATTTAGGGAGATGGTCAGCAGCCTCAATCAGCATAAACTCTTCATCACTATCCTTTATTCTGCATTAGAAAAAACATGATACTGAATCACATCTCGTTACTAATAAGACTGTCATAAACAGGAAACAAATTATACAAGTGTAAATATTTGTGCAACGATTCTAATAAAAGATAATCATGATAATTATATACAAATAAGATGAAATAATATTGTATTGATATAAACAGTGTACATTTTTTTGGTACATTTCTTCTATTATACCATTATGTTGAGTTATTTGTTTGTGGTAATTTTACATCCTCTGAGGCCATAAAAAAGAATAGGTTTGTTTGCCCTAACCCTACCTACCCAGAAAATAGCTGCCTACTCAAAATCTTTTATTGCCCTGATGTGAAAATATTTTTTTTTTATTCAGATAGGCATGAAGACTAATAAACATCTGATACTTAAATTTCTCTTTACCAAAAAAAAAAGAAAATGCCTACCTACCTACCCACTGTCTCAATGTTGGGTAGGGTTTGGGCAAACCTAAAATTTTTTAAGTGTGGCCTGAAAAGAAAATCTTAGGTCACCATTTCCATGATTTTAAAAGTTAGTGATAAGGATCAGAACTAAAACTCATCAAGTATTCTGAGATTTAAAGCTGCATTTTCCTTCCTGTCAATCCTGTGTACTTCAATTTTTGTCATCCGATGATATCACCAGATTTGAAAATGTCCAAAACTAAAGGGAAATCAACTGAAAATGTACCCTATATTGTTGGTTTTTTTAGCTAAAAGTTGCTTGAGAAGGGAATATGTGATATAATTTAGAAATATCATTACTGTGAGAAAAGAAATTCAGAGGAATTTTAGTTAAAAAAAAATGTCTATACCAGATCACTAGACACCCTTACCATTTAATGTACCGGGATATGAATATTCCACTTACAGTATAGTTCATCTATAATGTAAAGCAAAAAGAAACAACAAGTCTTCAAAAGAGAACATGAATCACTGAGTCATGAAGATGAGATCAAGGACACTTGACACATGTCTGGCAAAAAAAAACTTTCAAATTCAATACAAATATATTTTTAGTTGGAATACACAAGTTTTATTACAGATCACACATTACCAGAATATCAGATCATATATTTACTTGAATAATTTGAAAATATGTGAATTCTGAAATTTTATAACTCTTTATTATTCTAAAAAAACAAGCTAATAAATCTTACTTTGCAACTAATCCATCAAACTGTTTGGTTAATGTGAATAATAGGTAAACAATAAGCCATTCATCCTCAACGTTATCACCATAACAGGTTTTACCATACAGGTGAGGTGGTAAGTTATCTAAAAATAAACATAAGACATTACACATGCCCTTTTTCAAATGTAATTATAAATTAACTTCCTTGTCTTGTTAAAATTCTTTTTTTAGACTTTTCAGCCAATGGCTTTTTTTCTATTTTTGTGATTTTTTGTCTTAGTTGGGTCATCATGGTCATGATGCGCAATTCATTTCCCATAGGCGACAATGGTAGCCCTTTCTTCCATTACTCTGTCCATATCTTAAACTTGGATATGTATGATGGCTCGTTTCCAAGCCGAGACATTTTCACACATGCATGTGGTTAAATTTTCGGGGTACGAAGTGAGATTAAATTTTTCCCAATTGGGCAACCCCGAAAGGCCCCACAAGATGCCACTTCAGCAAGTGAAAAGTCCTTATTTTCACACAGTTAAATTCTCTGGAAATTCAGTTCTTTACAAACATTTAATAACTTCAAATTTTTTACATCTTTACTGTACAGTCTTCTGCTCTTCAAAAAAGCACAAATGGTTAAGCTCAGTTTCGTTGCATGCAGGCTTTTTTATTTCTATTTACAGTTTGAGTACCTTACTCTGAAGCGCATTAGGGATATTTACCCAGTTATCTACATGATAGATCAGCTACCTTTCACAAATCATTAAGATGTAATAAATTTAGAACCTTGGTAATATTTTGCAGTCATAATAACATGATGTCAAAACTAAGAGTTGCATCAGCCATCTAAAAATCTAAAACTATATTGTGTGATTTGGTCGTTGTAATACAATCTGTTCCCCTATTTAAAGAGAGCAAATAAACTGAAGAAACAACTTTTTTCTAGGGGATATGCTCGTGTTGCATTCTAAAATTTATTTCTCAGCTGCTCAAGTCCTACATGAAGTATACAAGAAATTTGTATTTAAGATGTGAAAGTACCAAAATGTCATTACAAAAAACCCTAGAACAGTCTAGAATGGTCTAGAAGCAGTTTAAAAACAGGGTCAAATTTGGTTTGTGAAAACTATGAATAGCTTATCATCAGCATATATTCCTTACGTTGTGTTAATGACAACATGCTCTTTGGTGCATAAGCAGGATCATATAAGTTGTAACTATATCTTTAACGTTAAAGGAAAAACAAAAAAACATTCATGTGATGTCTCAAAATACTTTTATTAACTCTTAAGTCATATTTTTTTATTTTATTTGCTTTAAACCTGTATTTTAATTCAGTATCAATCCAGATGTTGCTGGTATTTAATTGCACTTCAATCAGCCAATCATATACATATAAATGTGCAATCAAAAGCATATATTTTCTGTTGTCAATTTGTCAAAATGTTTTTACTCCGCAACCTTTTTTTTATGTCAAAGAATTTTACGACAATTGAAATTTCCCATAATTACATCTTCTAACATCAGACTCGGACTTCTCTTGAACTGAATTTTAATGTGCGTATTGTTATGCGTTTACTTTTCTACATTGGCTAGAGGTATAGGGGGAGGGTTGAGATATCATAAACATGTTTAACCCCGCCGCATTTTTGCGCCTGTCCCAAGTCAGGAGCCTCTAGCCTTTGTTAGTCTTGTATTATTTTTAATTTTAGTTTCTTGTGTACAATTTGGAGTTTAGTATGGCGTTCATTATCACTGAACTAGTATATATATTTGTTTAGGGGCCAGCTGAAGGACGCCTCCGGGTGCGGGAATTTCTCGCTGCATTGAAGACCTGTTGGTGACCTTCTGCTGTTGTCTGTTCTATGGTCGGGTTGTTGTCTCTTTGACACATTCCCCATTTCCATTCTCAATTTTACAATTCTAAAGATGATTTTTGTGAACTATTCCTTTCTTTAAAGATAGCATAGGGGGAAAATGCAGTTTTTCTGAGTAAGTATGACCTTGAAAATACATGATGAAGATAAGCATAACAAAATTCATTTCTAAGCCTGGTCAAACTAAGTCCAGATATTATTATATCTGCTAAGGGTATTTTTTTTTTTTATTTTTATAAATCCCTAATTGATGGAAGGCGTCAAACAAACAATCAAAGTACTGAAGTACTGAACATCGGATGACCGCAGGTTCTTGTGTATGGTCAAAAGCACATGTCACAGAAACAGATCACATCTCTATACCTGAAACTGAGGTTAATTTACAGAGATTTTTTTTTCTGATACAAGTTCCTGCTTGGATGATGAATAAATGACAGGAAATTCAACCTCACCGTAATAACTATTATATTGTAGTGATACAAATCAGTATACCTTAGACTATTATACTAATATAATAATAGTTCCAGAGAATACACTGGTTTGTTGTTATATATTATATTAATATTACGGTTGCATGTATATATAATTTTCATCTATTTGTATATCATTCTATTCTACTATTATTATAGTGCAGTGCAAGTGCATGGTGGACACTCTTCTGTAAAAAAAATCAAAGCCTTAAAGGCTGTAAAAGCAATTGCTGCCATGTTAATGCTTTGTGGACTTTTATTTTTCATCCATATATATAAGAATTAAACCTGACAGGACAGGAGTGTTGACTAGTGAGAAGCAAGATGGTTTTAACTTTATATCAATAAAAGACTTTAGCAGGAAATCATTTTAAATATGTTTTATATTTCACAAGGAGACAACAAGTTTACAAGGCTAAAGTTGGGGTTAATTATACATGTGCTGAAACATATAACTAAAAAAAAAATCAATATGGATTGTCCCCTGGTAGTGTTTGTAACTGGGCAATAATTTCCTTTATTGATTTTAATTTTAACAATTTTCATAATTAATTTAAATTAACCATTCAGTTAAAACATTTCAACTTTCCAGACGCAAATGTTGAAAAACGGGCAAGAAATAAAATATCTTACAAGACATAAACATGTAAAAAATAAATATATATTTCAGCTTACTAAAAATATTTTCATAATGTTACTTTGACATCATTTCTTAAAACTAAGTCCCAAACATAATTGCTCAGTTAATATGTGTCATCCTCATGCGATACGAGATAACTATAATTCTGATGCAATCCCGAAAAGGGGGGTCATCACTAACAAACATGAAATTAAATTGTCATTATACGAACTAGAACAAACAGCTCTATGTTGCTTTGATATTTATCAATTTTCAGGAAACATGTGAAATAAATTTCAGGTCCATTTCATTATAGTGCCTAACAAGATTGTGTGAGGTAGACGAAATTGACCTTAAAACGATAGTATTGTCTTTTGAAGTCCAAAAATAGGCAGATCGGACATATAAGGACTTTATCTAATGACTACATAAATTTGGGATTTATTATTATTATAATATTCTAATGAAACTGAAAATTGTATTTTTTTGTTAGGATAAACAACAATTTTACCTGGCGTAGCCGTGCATAAAATGTTTTTCTGCGAAAAATGGCGTATTTAATGGAATAGAACGTTAATACAGTAAACTTTCTCTTTTTTCTCCGCAATAGGCTATCAAAAATAATTTATCTAATGTGTATATGGAAAATTATGTGAAAAGATAAAAAGTGGCAATTGTTACCTTTCATACCTTAAGCAGTCAGGGGTACTACTTAAACAAGTGATTTCAGAATCACTCCCTCGAGTGATTTTGGCTGTGAAGTATTAAAAATTTTCACACAGACTTTTTAAAATCACTGAAACAAGTAATTTTAGAAGTTAAAATGTAATCACTTTAATAAGTGTTTATAACATTTTCTTGATATTTTTCCCACAAGCTTGATTTTTTTATTGGTAAAAAGACAACAATTCCATTGAAAAAACAACTATGTATATGCAGAAATTGTCTTTTGCTTGATAAGCCTGACACTTTTACAGTTTTTTTAAAATATGCAAAAACTGGAATAGTTTGTAGATCAGGTCATAACCTTGAAGTAGATCATTCTAACTCTAAAGAAAACCAATCAGGTTACCTAATATTGTTGATATTTGTCTGAAAGTAAGAGTAGTTAATGAACTTTTGATTACAGAAAACTTCCCAAGGGTACTTTTAAAAGCTTTAGCGCACTAACTTACTGCCCAAGCGCACTGGTGAAATTAATATACAAAGAAAAAGGGATAATTGATTTATGTAGGAAAATTATAGAAAAGATTGTGAAAATATGGAAAATCAATGAAATTAGCATTTGAAGATCAAAGAAAACACTAAAATCACTTAAATAGGTGATAACTGAATTTATCAAATCACTGAAATAAGTGATGATGAAATCACTTGTTTAAGTAGCACCCCTGACTGTTAAGTTTCATTCATATACTGCTATTATTGTTGTTGTTACCAATTATGTAAATCAATTGTATCTGATTTTATGCCCTTTATGGGCCCTGTAATTTGGAAAATACAAAAAAAAAATCTATTCATTGATAAAACGTAATATGGACTGGTCCAGTGTCCAGTTTGCAGGTCATTTAATTTACTGTAAACATTCATGCACGCTCTGATTTAATCGATATACACGTACGAAAAAGCATGAACAGTTTGAAGGTAATCTAATAATAACTTAATCCAATCAAATTGCATAAGATTCAATAACAATGTCCAGTCCACATCATAATGAGTAATAGGGGTAAACTTGGTAGGGAGAAAATGACAGATATTTCAAGTTAATATTTATGCAATAACGAATTAAAATTTGTCAACCAAAAGTTTTGCTACAATTTCAAAAACATGTCGTTCTGTATGGGTATAGTTTTCGGATCTTTCATTAGCGTATTTAAGGCTATAAAAAGTTTGGGCTTCAAAAGTTCACACAATTATTGACTTTATACAGAAAATTCGTCCTTGTAAAACATTTAATAGTTCACAAATGATACGCGATTTTAAAGTAAAATTATTTCTTAAAACACTGCAAAAAATTTCATTCATATTGATAAAGTGGTATCGTCATAAAGTGCGTTGAAATGAACAGTGGTATAGCAAACAACGAATTTCCTCACAAAATGATATCACACACTATAGTAAGGGGAGTCAGTTAAGTTTGTTTATTTTTAGATTACAGGTAATCATTTGACATAACGTATACAACCTGTGTGACCTGTGTAGTGATTTTGATTTTACGATAAATTCATGAATGAATGAACGATAATTTTATGAATGAACATGAGCACCTGACCTCTTTCATAAACACCAATTAAACATATAAAACCGTATTTAAAAGGAGATAGTTCAGTCAAATTTTCAGTACTAAATCAACAACTGAAATGATTCCATTTTTTTATGAACATGATGAAACATCGTACGAACGGAAAACGGAATCGCAGGTATAAAAATGCACTTTTTTCCCTTGTAATGACCGCGGATCTATAATTTTTATAGATCGGTTGAAATCCCAAAACTAATTTGCATAATGGAAATTTAGGCGATAGCAATACATCGGAATGACCTGAAGGTCATCCTCTGTAAAAATTAACATAGCCTTCCAAGACGACATAATTATTTGGACTAGGTAAAACTCGGTTTGAAAACTAATGACAATTTGACCTAAGCAAAAATTAGATTAAAATGAAGTTGAGTTGTCAATTTTAATGCTCTGGTGTCAATAAATATGCAAAATTTCTTTTATTTGTTGGGTGGCATGAATTTGGATTTTAAATTAATGGATATCAAACAAACAAAAGACTGGACAGACAGGCAAATAGGCAACATTTTCATATGTCACAATAATTATGTTATCACATCATACAGTGTTGATTGTTCAATGACATCATATACATGGATTGACTGCTAGTTATTATATATATAAGCTAACTGCTGAAACTCATTTATATATAAAAAATTGAAATTAGTCAATTGTTTGAGTCTGATCTCTAACACTATCTGCTTACATGAGTCCAGTGTTTGTCTGAAATTTAGGCCAAGCTGAAGCATACATTTATTACTCAGATTGGTTGCTTAATGTCCAGTGGCAAATATTAGATGCATGTTCAGGACAGTATTATTCAGATACACCTGTGTCTAAGTACTTGACTGACCAAGGATGAAAATACCACACATCTTAAGCAAATTTTAAAGAAGGGTTACAATTTATTGGTGATCATTCAATATCAAGCAGAAATGTATTCAGAAAGTAAACAAAGTAACCTTTTTCAGTCACAGCAGTTAAATTAAACTGCTCTTTTTGCCAAATGTGGTCGACAATTGTTGAACTAACAAAAGCAAGATAAGCGTCAATATATTCAAGCAAAATTTTCCGCTTCGTCTCTTGACATAAAGATGTGTCAACCAAGGGGAAAAGCCAATATTCAGCAGCATCGTCGGGTAGACGATCTTTCTTTTCTGCCATGCTAATTCAATGATGACTGGTTTGTAATAATTAACTACGATAGCTTACCGTACATTGTACAAATTCCTTGAAAGGGTACCAGTCAAATTTTGCGGAAGTTCCGCAAAGGTCGTAACCTCAAAAAATTGGCCAATCATTTAAAACATAGCAAAGTGCTTTGGGTCCGAATCATGTGATCATTTTTTGTGAAAGAAGATGTTGAAGCCAAAAGCATTAACTCAAGTTTTGAGTCAGGCAAATACTGGTGGTGTACAAAGCACACTGTAAGAATATTTACTGATATCAAAGTTCGTGAATTTAATAAAACGCAAAGTATGCTGAAAAAATGTAAGCCTCTAAAATAGCCTAATAGGTTAAATAAATAACATGCCAGTCATCACATAAATAGAGTATTTACACTTGTATGTGGTCGACAATTGTTGAACTAACAAAAGCAAGATAAGCGTCAATATATTCAAGTAAAATTTTCCGCTTCATCTCTTGACATAAAGATGTGTCAACCAAGGGGAAAAATTATTTTCTTGTTTACAAGAGTGAAAAAAATTTGTACACACGAGACTTCAATATTTTACAAGAGAGACAATCCAGTGTCAACAGCGACACCTACAGAATACAGAATACACTTGTATGCAAATTTGTCGACCATTACTTAAAATCACACAAGTTCTAAATTTGCATCACTATTTAAAAATTTTTTTAGGTCATAATAAAAAGTGATTGTTCCTTGACATCAGAAGGTTATTTGGAGACAGAATTCAACTAAATACCGAAAGTTTTACTTACTTAAAGCCCATACAGGAATCGGGGTCATTTCATATCAAAGAATAAATCCGATTTATAATTTTTTTAAATCATGGTGATATGACTCACTCTTGTGGGACCAATTGACACGGTACAAATGGGTGAAACATGCCAGTCATCACATAAATTGAGTATTTACACTTGTATGCAAATTTGAAGAAAAGACCTGTTATCTACAGCTGAAATAACACTAGACTGTCTAGACACTGACTGTGAAATATGCTGGAATAAGATTGAGATAAAAAGCAGTAAACCACTTTATACAGGCTGCTATTACAGACCACCAGACAACAATATACAATACAATACAATATTTTTATGACATAAACATTACAGAGTGATTAAAGAAATATAGCATCTATTGAAAGCTTAAATACATCGCTAACCAGACTAACACATTCAAGTAATCTTCCAAACTTAGTACTCACTGGTGATTTCAAGATGCCTGACATAAAATGGGAAATAGATGAAGACAACAACTTCCCAGTAAAAAAACCAAACAACTATAGTATGGAAACCAATAACAAGTTCATAGAAGCACTTGAAGAAAACTGTCTAACACAAATAGTAAAAGAACCAACATGTCAAGATAACATATTAAACCTTGTATTAACAACAAATCCGTCAAGCATTGAAAATATATCAGTCCAAGATGGAATGAGTGACCATAGCATAGTCATCACTGACATAAATTTAAAAGCAAAAACAAAAAAGCAAGTATCATGAGTACCAAGGAAAGTATATATTTATAAAAAGGGCAACATGAACCGAATAAATGAACAACTAGATAAAGAGTTGAATAATGTTATACAAAACATGCAAAAAGCAAGTACAAATACCACACAAGAATGCTGGAATGAATTTAAAGATATATTGTCACAGGCTATAACATCAAATATTCCAACCAAAATGCTGTCATCCAGATGGAATGTACCTTGGATCAATAGAGAGATCAAAACAATGATCAAAAGAAAACAAAGGGTTTACAACAAGGCAAAACGTACTAACAATGAAACACACTGGGAAGAATTTAAGCTCCTGAGAAAAACAGTAAAATCTAAATTAGAAGAAGCACACCAAAACTATATTTCACAAATATTGGAAGTAGATGAAGAGGGAGAGAGAAAAACACCTGTTGTTTGAAAAAAGTTTTGGCAATATTTTAAATCAAAGAAAAGGGACTCCTGTGGAATAGCACCACTTAGTTCAAATGGAAAACTAATGGAAGACAGCAAAGGTAAAGCAGAAACACTTAACCATCAATTTGTATCTGTTTTTACTAATGAAAACACATTAAGTCAACCAAAACTGAATGGCAGCCCATCGCCTGATATAGACCATCTAGAGATAACAGTAGAAGGAGTAAGAAAGCTATTAAGTAATGTCAACCCGAAAAAGGCAAATGGGCCAGATAACATACCAAACAGAGTCCTAAAGGAATGTGCTACAAGTATCTCGACATAAAATAACAACAATATTTCAGAAAACATATGATGAAGGGGCTGTCCCAAACGATTTGATTACAGCTATCATCACAGCACTTTTTAAAAAAGGGGACAAAAGCTTGCCAGTAAATTACAGACTTGTTTCATTGACGTCAGTTACATGCAAACTCATGGAACACATCATTTTCAAACACATTATGCAGCATCTTGAGAAATATGAAATACAAGTCGATTACCAACATGGCTTCAGATAGAAAAGATCATGCGAATCTCAATTAGTAACAACAATTGAAGATATAGCAAAACATCTAGATAAAAAAGAGCAAGTTGATATGCTAATATTAGACTTCAGTAAAGCATTTGATGTAGTGCCTCACATACGGCTTCTGCGGAAATTAGAGCACTATGGAATAAATAGCAAAATAATTGAGTGGGCAAGGCCTGGCTCACACAACGTCAACAGTGTGTAGCAGTTGAAGGTGAAACATCTACAAACGCCTTTGTAAAATCAGGAGTACCCCAAGGTACAGTTTTAGGCCCATTGATGTTTCTTTTATATATCAATGATATTGGGGATGACATCAAGTCAAAGTTGCGCCTCTTTGCAGATGATAGCCTTTTATACCTGGCAATAGATTGCAATGATGACTGCAACCAATTACAAAAAGATCTGAACAAATTGGTCGACTGGGCATCTAATTGGCAGATGAAATTTAATGCGTCAAAATGTTATGTTCTAAGAATAACCAACAAGAAAAATCCTATCAGACACAACTATCACATGCATGGCCAAATTTTAGAAAATGTAGACCAAAACCCATATTTAGGAGTTCAGTTCACCAACAACCTGAAATGGGATATACACATCAATAACATCACGGCAAAAGCAAATAGATCATTAGGCTTTCTGAGGAGAAACATCAGCAAATTCCCAGAAGAAATTAAATAAGAGCATATCAAGCCATTGTTAGACCAAACGTTGAATATGCAAGCAGTGCCTGGGATCCATATCAGGAAAACCACATCAAAAAGATAGAAATGGTGCAAAGAAGGTCAGCACGTTTCATAAAACATCAATACAGCAGAGGACCTGGGTCAGTTACTAGCATACTGAATGAGCTAAAATTACCATCATTAGAGACCAGACGGAAAATAAAAAGGCTTTGCTTGTTCCACAAAGCTTTACATCATAAAATAGCCATAAATATTCCAGAGTATGTAGAACAACAAAGCAGGACAACACGTCAATATCACCAAAGTAAATTTAGAAACCTTCAAACTTCAACCAACACCTACAAATACAGCTTCTTTCCATGTACCATCAAAGACTGGAATAGCTTACCAATAAGACTGTTAAATATAGAAGATACAGAGGCATTCAAGAACAGCCTCACATCTTATTTAACAGAGTAGTCACACAACAAACACTAAATTTTAGTTTCACATGTAAATATGTTTTTAATGAGCACCATATCAAATGACTTAATTAGTACTTGCATGATGGGTCTTAGACCCTTTGCATTTCAACGATGTAGACAGTAGATGTAGATGTAGAAACATTTTTTCAACAGATAGACCAGTACAAATTTGCTGGAAAGTGTATGCTCCTTTATCATGTTTAAGGTGTAATCATATGCTCCATGTATATCATGTTTTATGAAGAGGGTCAATAAAAAGGAAAAACTAGAACAGGATTAGTATAGTTATTGCTCTCATCCAAGTTGTTACATTTAGGTACATTGTACCATTATTTGTCAGACTAAATGGAAAGCTTCATGTCTTGATAGCTATGCATTATGATATTTAGAGCACTGCATATACACATGCATTAAATTATGTTGATGCTGATACTTATAATGTTATTTATTTATTTTTAGCTTGTTAAACAATGAAGGAGCATTATTAGCCTATTCTGGTTATGGTGACAAAGATGCTGCAGTGTCAGCTGCAATAGCTGGTAACATCTGGACGGCCTATCAGAAGAGTGGATCTGCAGCTTTTAATGATGATAAATTAAAATTAGTTATGTTGGAATGTGAGGTAAGAAAAGGACAAACAATTCAATGAGACAGGATTAATTCCAGAAATTAAAGGGATGGTTTCAGGGGGGTTAATCCTAAGTTTTGTAAATTTGTAGGAAAAGGTGGTTTTTTTTATCCAACAATGTCAATAATGTGGTAAATTTTAATTTTTGTTAAAATATGTCATATTTTGAGAAACAACTTTAAAAGCGATGGTTTTTAGGGGGTAACGGCTAATTTGTGTAAATTTTTAGAACAAGGTATTTTTTTTTAGATCAAACTCTTGGAACATCTATCTGATCCCTTATGTCAAAATTGTGGTTAATTTTTAATTTTTGGTTAAAAAATGCCAAATTATGAGAAACATGTTTTTAATAGGATTTCAATGAAAATCAATGTGTACATGTACATGTAGTTACAATTTGCTGTTCCAAAATGATTCCCTGTGTCAAAAATTATTGGTTGCCCTTCCATTTATGAAATGCCCTCCAAAATACATACATGTAGTGGTTGGATTTAAACAAAACTTTATATTATCAAGAACGCATTCTGAATTAAGTGCTTGTATCAAAGTTCTGAAATTTGACACCCAATACACATGCATAAAATATTGCTTTGTATGCATCAGTCTTTGTGCCTCACACAAAAATTCACAAGCAGGGCCCTTGCTGACACACCAGTTTTCTTGTTTCAATGATGTATCACCAATAACATCAGATAGGATTGTGTGACAAAAGACAAGAACTGACTTTAGACAACGGGAATACAATGTATAAGGTTTAGGCAAGGTGGAGAATACAGAATTTAGCTGTGTGTATTGTACTTATTTGCATATAATACACACTCCCATTTTATCCCCAGATCTTGTGGAAAAAATTAAGTTTGCTTTTATATGCTGCTTCAAATTATGAATCGGCCCTGTCCTCCAACCACAACTACTGAAAATGTGTCTTAGCCTAAGTAAGTAAATTTATGTTGATGAGATATGCATATTTTCAGACTTGTTTGATGAATTAACAAAACCAGTTTGAACAAAAGGGAATGAACACAGAATTTAAAAAAAAACAAAATTTTGCTCTACTCACAGTAGTTAATTTAATTTAATAACAGGATTAAACCATTCCTGGTTAAAAATGTTTCAGCCTTGTATTGACTGTTAACAGATTTTTCAACAGTTTTGGTACATGTATATGGATAACAAATATTTTTGCATTGATTTTATTATTATTATATGTTAAGAACTTTTCAGTTTGATTACATTATAAACTTTCTATGTTTCAGACAGGAAAAGTAGCCATAACAAAAGTTGCAAATTTAATTCTTTGCATGAGTTCAAAAGAAAATGTTGGATTTGGAATGTTAAAAGCAAAGGTAAGTCAGTGTATACTTTTACTTAAGATCATACATATAAAGTTTCTCGAGGTACATTTTAAAGTCATATGATCCTTCTAAATTAACAAAAAAGATGAATATCGTTAGTATACTTGAAGGCTTAGTTTTACTATAAAACGTGTGCATAGACTTTCTTTTAAAAGAAAATCCTTTATTTTATCCAAGTCTTCAGAAATGTACTGCTATTGAAATATTGTCTCTAAATCACGCACAGACAGCTTTTACAGATAAGCATGCATTGCTTCAATAATTTCCTTGTATAATTAAAATATTTTTGAAAGGTTCCATAAAAGGAATTAATTAGATTTTAAAATATTTTTTTTGTCTCCTTTCTCTTACCAAAAAAGGACAAACTAGTTATTGAATTGAAACTCATTCAACAAGAATGTGTCCATAGTACACGGATGCCCCACTCGCACTATCATTTTCTATGTTCAGTGGACCGTGAAATTGGGGTAAAAACTCTAATTTGGCATTAAAATGAGAAAGATCATATCATAGGGAACATGTGTACTAAGTTTCAAGTTGATTGGACTTCAACTTCATCAAAAACTACCTTGACCAAAAACTTTAACCTGAAGCGAGACAGACGGACGGACGCACAGACCGAAAAACATAATGCCCATAAATGGGGCATAAAAATGATATGAAAAGTTTAAAGGAGTAAGTTTGGTAAGTGTCATTATTAGCCGCGAACTATTAAGCCTATTGTTTCCAGATGAAAAAATGTTTTAATTTGAAGAAAAGACATGCAAGAAATTTAAATTGAATTTTTTTTATCTGACTTTTCTGGTAAAGCGGTGCCCTTCACACCACAAGTAGGCCGAAAAAGAGATTTTAATTTAAGTTCAAAAAATCATCTAGAGTTCACCCGAATTGAGGCCTAGTTCAACATAGAGCACAGGCTTCGACAAACTAAATATTCAAGTCAGATATGTAAGTTGTTATAACAAACATAATGTTAAAAGATCTATTTTGTTGACACACTTGTATTTAGCATTTTTTAAGTGTAAACATACATGTTAACTATATTTCAGGCAGAAGCATTAGCCCTGTATCTAGAAGAACCATTGTCACAAGTGGCAGCATCCTGACAGTAACTAGATGTGGTCATCCATCCTTAGCTATTGATCACCATAATGTCACCAGTCTCTCCATGGATTTCATATTAACTGTCATACTAGATGACTAGTCAAAAACTTGTTATATTGCTTATTGTTAAGTAAAATTGTGTAAATAATAATCAGCATTTTTTTTATATTAATTTTCTGGTTGAAAGAGTGTTTACCCTATGAAAGTATGCAGGCATTATGTTTTCTGATCTGTGTGTCCGTTTGTTATTCCATCTGTCCCATTTCAGGATAAAGTTTTTGGTCAAGGTAGTTTACCATGAAGATGTGGTCACATCAACTTGAAACTTGGCAAAAATGATCATTATGATGTGAACTTTTAAAATTTTAAGCCACAACAGTAGGGTTTTGACCCAAATATCAAGGTTCACTGAACATAGAAAAATAGTAGCAGGGCATGGCATTCTATAGACATAGATTCTTGTTGTGTTCTGTTTTTGTAATATCAACTAGCGGTATTCTTTTAACTTAGAACTGAATAGAATGCAGCCAAGCTCTATTTAATGTGTATGTGAGTAAAACTTAGCTTTGTGGCAATCATCAATAACAAAGCACAAAATACATCAACAAATAGAAAATGCCATGCTATCAACTGATGCCCAAACTGGCTTCCTACAACTAAACTAAACTGATATAGCTCCGACATTATTTCAGTAGGGCTTCTAGAGTCAATAACAGAAAGTTGAAATTACAAAACAAAATAGCAATTCATGTATACCCTTGGATCAACATATGCAACAATGTGAAATATGACTTTGATCCGTGCAGGACATATGTAACATTGACATAAGTCCTACTTTAATCCCAGCAAACATACTTGGGTTGACCATCACATATTATACAGGGTAGTACATTTTGACATAACATGGTCCCTAGCATCAACCTGATGTGTATTTTCATATATTATTTTTTCCCAATAATAGCAGAATAAGTCAATAATTCATAAACAAAAACTTGTGAAATTGCCTCAATAATAGTGACATTCATTGCCCAACAAATATTCTATACAACAATCTAAAGACTACAACAGGATATCTGTTAAACTGGACAGAAAACAACAAATTGGGCAAAAAAAAAGAACACAGGGAGATTATATAACAGTTTGAAAAGGCCTTACCGGTAACTAAATATATATACAATAAGCTGGATAAATTCTCAAACCAACATAAACTCCATATAGACGTATACACTGGAACATGTTTAACCACCAGGCCAACACTACACAAACAAAACATAAATTGTAACAATAAATTTTCTCCCTTGCTGCAATATTTGAATTATTTTAGTAGTCAAATAACTGTGAATCTGTGACAATAGAGATTTTTCTGCCATTTGATATACAATGTTATGCTGAATTATGGCACCTTTCCCAATCTAAATTCTGTCTCTTTCCCAAAATGTCATAAACATACAAATGTTCTTAGCTGCCACACATTTGTCAAAATCCTAAAAAAATTATAAAATTCTGGACTTTTTATTATTGTTATTTTTCCAACCTTAGTAATGTTAGTTTTACCTAAGTTCCCCTGGAAACTTTGTTATTAACAATGCGATAATATCTGTTCCTGTTGGAACAATATTCCTTACCCTTTATTCCGTAAGGAACAAATTTTGTAATATTCGTTCCATTGAGAAAAAATATGACAGAATATTTCTTCCAATTAGAACTTCTATTTCATGACATGTATACCACAGTGGTGTCATGTGTCCTAGGCATTCAAGGTACACCAAAGTGTTGTCATGTGTCCTAGGCATTCAAGGTAAACCAAAGTGTTGTCCTGTGTCCTAGACATTCAGTGTACGCCAACGTGTTGTCAAGAGTCCTAGGCATTCAAGGTAAACAAAGCGTTGTCCAGTGTCCTAGACATTCAAGGTAAACCAGTGTTGTCCTAAGTCCTAGACATTCAAGATATACCAAAGTGTTGTCCTGTGTCCTAGGCATTCGAGGTAAACCAAAGTGTTGTCTTGTGCTCCAGGCATTCAAGGTAAACCAAAGTAATATCCAGTGCCCTAGGCATACAGGGTAAACCAAAGTGTTGTTCTGTGTTCTAGGCATTCAAGGTAAACCAAATTGTCCTGTGTCCTAGACATTCAATGTAAAACAAAGTGTTGTCCTGTGCTCTAGGCATTCAAGATAAACCAAAGTGTTGTCATGTGTCCTAGGCATTTAAGGTAAACTAAAGTGTTGTCATGTGTCCTAGGCATTCAAGGTAAACCAAAGTGTTGTCCTGTGTCTTAGGCATTCAAGGTAACCCAAAGTGTTGTTCTGTGCCCTAGGCATTCAAGGTAAGCCAAATTATTGTCCTGTGTCATTCAAATGTCAAGTTGTATACAGTACAAGTGCATGGTGGATTTTCTGTTCATTAGTTATTCTTTAGGAAGAATTTTTTGAAGGTAAGTTTATAGTACCCAACGATAGAGTTGTCATAGACAGTGTTGGATATTTTGTTTAGGCTTTCAAAACATGGTCTTTAGCATACCTGATGAAAGGACTTCCAGTTGTTACAAGCAAGGAAATCATATCATACATTTCTCAATAAGAATAACAAGAGTGAACACGCTGAAATGTCTCGCCTTCTTTACTGACCATTGATTTTATGTTTATGTTTTATATAGTCCTAAATATAAAGCTTTCCTACAATTATCACATAAACTTAACATGATCCAAGAAAATGAGGTCAAGGTCAGATAAACCAAACTGGAAATACATGTACACCTTACAATCATTCCATACACCAAATATAGATGACCTATTACTTGTAGTTTCTTAGAAACGAACTTAACCGGGAAACTTAACACTGACCAATGAACCATGAAAATGAGGTCAAGGTCAGATGAACCATGAAAATGAGGTCAAGGTCAGATGAACCATGCCCGACAGACATGTACACCTTACAATCAATCTATGCATTAAATATAGTTGACATATTGCTTAATAGTATCTAAGACACAAACTTAACCATGAAAATTTAACATTGATCAATGAACCATGAAAATGAGGTCAAAGTTATGATGACACCTCCCAGTTTGACATGTACACCTTACAATCATTCCATACACCAAATTTAGTAGACCAATTGCTTATAGTATCTGAGATATGGACTTGACCACGAAAACTTAACCTTGTTCACTGATCCATGAAATGAGGTCGAGGTCAGATGAAAACTGTCTGACAGGCACGAGGACCTTGCAAGGTATGCACATACTAAATATAGATATCCTTTTACTCATAATAAGAGAGAAATTAACATTACAAAAAATCTTAACTTTTCAAGTAGTCACTGAACCATGAAAATGAGGTCAAGGACAACGGACATATGACAGACGGAAACTTCATAACATAAGGCATCCATATACAAAGTATGAAGCATCCAGGTCTTCCACCTTCTAAAATATAAAGCTTTTAAGTAGTTAGTTAACGCCGCCACCGCCGGATCACTATCCCTATGTCGTGCTTTCTGCGACAGAAGTCGCAGGCTCAAAAAACCCACTAATTCTTGGCCCCCATTGCTTTCTATGTAAATTCTGCAATATCACTCATACATAGCCATCTAGACCTAACTTTTTTAAATAAAGTGACTGTCAATTCATGTGAAAACAATACTTTAGCCCTGCTTGTGCTGAAATATTGAACATAACTTTAATTGATAATATAAGAGAGTACTTGTTCACAGAAGTTCTGAAGTGCAAAAACAGGTTTTTATATATAAGATATGAGAGACAGGCAAACTACTGTGGATTCATTTATTTTCGTGGGTACCAATTATCGTGAATTGCGGAAAACTTGCCTTTTCGTGGATACGTGATTTCGTGGTTTTGCCAAAGTCTGCACGCAACCTGATAGACATTTGTATTTCGTGGAACATTTAAATTCGTGGTTCACCTGTACCAACGAAACCCACGAAAATTGGTACCCAACGAATAATAATGAATCCACAGTATGCCCTTCTATTTCAATTTCATATAACTTTTTGATTCTTCAAAATAAACATTCATTCACAATGGTTCAACCTTCATCCCAGGTCCTTAAGCTTTCATTTGATACCAACATTACCCAAATATCTTACATATTTTGAAAGTTACAGCTATGTGTGGGAACAATTTTGTGTAAAAATTGTACTTTCGTATATGTTCTTCGTGACCAGTCCCTTATTAGTGGTTCTATACCTTTTGTCACAACGAGAGCATTTAAGGCAAACATGATCGAGGCACTGGAGATTTAACATCCTGATAAAAAAACAACCATGTTGAATAAATCTATGTTTGTTCATGTCTGATGATTTTATTTGTTCTTAATTAAATCTATAACCTTTAGAAGAACTGAGATATCTATTTGTAAGATTTTTATTGTTCTTTTTTACGTAACTAAGTAGAACTATTTTGGAAGACTAAAACTAATGTCTCTCCTTCATTTATAGAATTGTTCCAGAAAAGAAAATATACATATATGGTTATTGGATGGAAATCTTAAATAGATAAAATTTATGATTAGATAAAATCTATGAATCTATGCACTTAAAAGGTCTTGTAATGGAAATTCAGAATGGTTATGGGATGTGGATCTGAACTAGTAGTGATTTTTTAACAATTTACTAAATAGGGAGTGAACATGACTCCCAAGGACAAAACCTATGGTGCACTGTTGTTGTCTTGCCATGGCAATCAAAAATATTATAGTTACAGAGTGGGGTTCTGAATATTTTTCTTGATATTTAACAGTAAATGATATGAAAGGGTGGGGCAGCTAGTCCCCAGGAACAGAACCTGTAGTAGACTACAAATCTATAATCAAAGCAATTAATATATATGGTTTAGAGGTGGGAATTTGAACCATTTTTTGGATAATTATATTTATATAAAGGGGTTATGCATACCCCCACCAGGTTTCTAAGGCTATTGTAAATATATGGTTTTGGAGTGGACTTAAAAATGTTGCTTAAATTAGTTATTTGACCAAGAGGCCAAAGGTCAAGGTCATGATCATCACTTTCCATGGTACTTGACACATAATTGAGGTAGTGCACCCATGTACCAAATATCATAATCTTATATCAGACTATAAAGAAAATTGTTTGCCGACACAAAAATGTCCCGAAATCCAGAAGAACTATGAGAAGAAATAATTCATGAACATTACAACTCACTTCAAAAAAGGGGAGACATACCCAGTCTTCTTCAAAAGTTACAAATGAATAATCTTATAAATGATTTCATACTCAGTCATCCTATAGATGAATTTCTAAATCTGTAAAATAAAAATGATATTTGCCAAATCTGATCTTTCAGAATATAATATATAACACAAAATCTGATCTTTCAGAATATAACATATAACACAAAATCTGATCTTTCAGAATATATAATATAACACATTTACAATAAACATATATTTTAACAGTTTAAAGTAGCACTGATACACATCTGGTATTATTGGTAAAGAAAACATATGGCACATTTAAAGGATTGGTTTTCCATGCTGACTTCAACTTATCAGGTATTACACATAGTATACAACATGTTCACTTCCTTAGCATACGAATCATTGTCAGCACAGGGAGTTTCCAAAATCATTGGAATGTGGTTAAACTTTGGACAGTTCATAATTCGATTAAATCCAGCCTTTCCAATGTGACCTTTCCCAATATTTTCATGACGATCAAGATGGCAGCCAAGCTTACCTGAAAAAATAAATACAAATAATCCTTCAGTACATTTTCCTGAGTTTAGATATGATAATTTTATGAGCTATAATATGAAATTAAACATTTGTTTACAACAAAAATGAATTAAACTGGACAGTAGTACCATAACTTTTATGAAAAGTATTTTTTTTCTCTAACCTTGATCTGAATAAAATGTTTCTTTAAATTTGTCATCACAGAAAGAATTGCAAAGTTTTTATTAATGTGAAAATATGTAACAGAATGAATACTACAATAATCAAAACTGTTTTTATTTCTGATAGGCATGTACAGCAACCACATTAAATAACCTTGCACTTAAATCAGCTGACGGAGATTCACAAAAACAAAAATTTTCCCACTTACTTACAGCTACTTTGGTATTCTAATCAAACCTGCCAGATGGTGTATTGATTTGATTTAAAAAAAATATCTATTTGAATTGACATTAACTGTGGCTGCTGTCATAGCTACTGCAGCAGCTATTCCAGCTACTGAAACTGTTATGATTAATAGCTGTAGAGGTCCTAAATCAAATTTAATGGGGATCATAAATGTGTAATATTGTATCATTTTTCAATGTTTTACAGCTCAATGACCTATATACATGATATAAGATTTTCTAATTGATAATTTTAATCATTTTATAATATGATCTATTGTTTTTGTAACAGCAGTGATGTTTGCTGATTGGCATGGACATTGGAATATATACTTTTGAATCTAGACATACTTAGTATGATTGTGGCTAGCTTTCATTTGATTTCAGTTGACCCAGTTGTTTTTAAAAAATAAATTTATCCTGAAAAGTAGAAAGACAAATTACCACAAATGATAAGAAAAAGCTTACACAGCACTTCTAGGCCAGGTACTCTAAAAATATGATTTTCATCTCATATTTTCAATCTAAATACAATAATTGTACCTTTTGAATCATTTATATGCAAAGCTTTTAAATACTGGAACCCAACTATTGATTCAAAATCTGATAACATCTGATTGAACCCTTCTTCCGTAGAGAGGTCAAATCCTGAAAGAAAAAAAATTAAACTATTAAATTGGCACGTGAGTAAAGGTGCTGTTTGGTAATAAATGATATCAGCAGGGACCAATTAACAGTATATTACTACATGTATATAAATATTTTAAAACTAGCTTTTTATTCAAAATTTACAAATACTTTTTTGTAAAGTGATATATAAATGCACATCAAAATGTATAAGGCTTAATAATTATGTAAATTGTCATATTTACATTTAAACATGATGTGCACATCTACTTGTGATGCCTAATAAGTATTTTAAATTATGTTGAATAAAAAACATATATATGTAAGACTCTAAAGTGCGATGGTCACACTAAAGTGCGATGGTCTACGCTAAAGTGCGATGGTGTCTCATGCTAAAGTGCGATGGTTGTTTGTTTGCTAAAGTACGGTGGTATATTGAGCTAAAGTGCGATGGACCAATAGGGTAAGGTTCGAGGGCTTTAAAAACGTTTAAGAACATAAGATGTAAAAATAGTCCTTTTGCAAAATCTAGTATTCAGAGGTATACCATATGTGATAGGCATTATAATCTACTGGTAGGCTGAAGTGATTGTTTCTAAATTTAGAAGACCGACCACGTAATAATTGCTAAACAGGTAATTTAGGTGTCACAAAATACTATATTTCTTGTAAGTGAATTTTTAACAATTCGGGCGTATTAAATATTGTGATAATTGGCATAGCTTGCCATTCACACAGTCTATCACTAATGGGAACACCTCCCCTTACAGTCATTATTGTAAATTACAAATACAAAATTCGATTATTGTCGGAATATGTAACATTTATTTGTTTAAGCTTTAAGAGAATGAGAGAAAAAGGCGATATTCGCCGAGTTTTCTCCTTTTTCGTAGCGACTACACATACATGCTATATTTTCCTATAATGTACAAACTAATATTTTAGCCGACAATTTATAATTTACGCATGCAAACATGTACCTTTATTTTACCGATGTTACTTTTTAAAGCGACAATATTTTAACGGGGACCGCAAAGTAAACTGCAACATAAACAATGATTTAAATGTATCCGTTCGCTTCCAATAAAAGCACGATACAGGATATTTATGCGAATACTATTTTGTATCTAAATAGTAAAATGGTCGACTGCAGGATACAAGTTCTTCTTCCAGCTACCGAAAAAAAAACACATTTGCTTCAGACGTCAAAGCACGGTTAGGTTTAAATCAATTATTAATAAGTCATTGACATTTGGTTTAACAGTTGTTAATCAAATATTAGTAATTTATCTTCCGGCGTGTTCATTTTTAGTTTGTATAAACGACTGTTAATGTCATAATCAAACTACGTTTCTTACGTCTATACTTTCGTGGACCATCAGACTTTAGCGTATACCATCGCACTTTAGCGTGACCATCGCACTTAAGCGTCCCCATCGCACTTTAAAGTCCTACATATATACCTTCGGTTATTCCAAAACCAATATTAATGGGGTTAAAAAAAAACTGCTGTATGCTCATGTACCAGTCCAATATGGTGAACCTCTTCTGTGGTCATCTTTAGCAATTTCTATATGTTTTTGTTCTTTATAGAATTTGGTGTTAATGCCAGATGCTTTACAATCTCTGTTAAGTTTAGTCACAAATTTTTTATTACTTCAATTGATTTAGAGCTTGGCATTTTGTATAAACATCTATCTATCGTTGACCACTTAATCTCTAGATTTTTTTGGTGTCATTGGGTTGCAATCTTTGAGAATATGTTATGTATTGTAGCTCATCACATTTAAGTTTGCGACCAAAACATAAAAGGTGTGTTTTTTTGTTGTTGTCCCTGCATAATGTGACAGGAAAGCATTATAGACAGATTTTTTTTTCAAAAGTAAACATATTAAGTGTGCTTTAGTATGTTATAATATAAGAGTAATGCCATTAGTAACAGTTGATTAACATGTCTTACCAGCAGCAAAAGCATGACAGGTATCTAGACATACACCCATTCTTGATTTGTCCTTCACTCTGTCTATAATTCCTCTCAGTTCCTCAAACTTTCCTCCAATTGTATGTCCTTGACAGCTCATGTTCTCAAGAACTGTAATAATCAATCAAATCAATTTTGTCAAAATAACTCTAATTGACATATGTCGTTGGATGATTATATGATGTAGGTAAGCTTAGTTCTGTATGCCTCCCAAACATTGGTAAAGGAATCTTTCAAAATACAAGAAAGAAAGCAAAAGCCAGCCTGTATTACTCACATAACTTATGTATTACAGCCTTTAGAGTGCCATAATTGATGGCAATTGCTTACATCCACTTTATTTGAACTTTGGTGGATAGTTGTCTCATTGGGAATCATACCTCATCTCGTTATTTTTATAAAACAATCTATTGGCAATGTGAGCTAATTTATGAAGTTGAACGTTTTGAAAAGAAAGTAAACCTGACACATGATTTTGACTACCCCTTGAAATAAGAGCAATTTTTTTTCTTAGCAATATGCCACCTATATTTAAATCCCACAATATGCTGTGCAAGAGTTTTTGATATGTAGAGAGCGTGACAAACATGGATTTCTGTTTCTATAGTTAATGTCACAATGCTTGCTTTTTATGTGTTTTTTGTGTCATGGATTGATACCCAATATCCTTTGTTTTTATATTATATACACAAATAGGAAATGTAGTATTTCAAAGCCAATTTAAACTGTCTGTCCTACAATACAGGACAGCTGAACATGGACCTAAATTCAGAAAAATAAAAGGAAAAATATAAAGGTTATCTCTTGATTAAAAAAAAGCTTTGTAAAATTCCAAAAAGATTTGAAGTTATTCAAGTTTTCAAACTTTTGACTACAGACTGTTGGAAAATGTTGACTGGAGCTAACCATTTTCTACAACAAGTCCGTTCATCAGTAAGTAAAATACAGATTCATAAAAAAAACAATTTTCAAAATTTTGCTCCAAATGCTTTTTCTTGATCATGAAGATGCTTCTCGATCGCTATGTCTCGCCTATGTATGAGACAGTAAGGAACAAGATAAATGAATTAGAACTTGGAATTCTAAGGTTCCATGCACAATGGTTTAAAAATGTTTTGGTCAAAGAAGTCACTGATCTTTATTGTTTTTGTTTCACTACAATATACATAATTTTAAAGTCAGATAAACTTGTCTTACTGTATCTTATTTGAAGTTAAACTTTTCCTACCTAAATAGTCTCACCTGTAATAACACCACTGGCTTTAGAATGGGCAAAATTTATGCTGGCTGCAATGTTATCCAGACATTTTTCTACACTTATTTTTCCACATGTTGAACCTGTAACAAACAAGATGATATTTATATAAAATGTTAGTATATAAAAAAAATTAACATTTCATATAGATAATTGTTTACCTGCATTATATTACATTTAAATCAAGGGTCCGAAAACGGTCATATTTGCCAGTCATGTCCTAAAATGAAAGCTTTTTGTCCTAAATGGCAGATTGGGATTTAAGACAAAATATTTTTTTTACAGAAATAATTTCGATCAGTTCATTGAGATCGAGTTTCTTTATCGCCATTTTGTTCTTGTTTTTGTAAAGTAATCCCTTTCCTGTAATAAAACTGCCACTCCAGTATAGAATGATAATCCTGAGGGCCCTCCTAATAACCATATTAATGACTCAGTGATCTCCATGGATGAAAATTTAATGATGGAGGAACTTTCACCATGACAAAACCCCGCGTCTATGGTGTGGCGTGATCGAAAGTATTTCATTCCTTCATTTCCATGTAAGGAATTGTGAACAGGCTGATACATTGCTTATTATATTTATTTCATTATAGAATAACAAATATGTTCATTATATTAATTGTCATTTGTAACAATTACAATGCCAAGCCTGTATGGCTAACCCCTTAGTAAAGAATGACAACAAGCTGTCCTTAAGGTTCCCATGTCGTTTTCTTGCTATTTTGGTAATTGTATAGGGCTTAAAAATCTGGGAGATTTTTTTTCACTGTCAAATTCAGAAGTCATATACCGATTTCAACGATTTGCAGCATCAACAACAAGAAGTTTTGTACCCGTTTTGTAAAACGCTGAAGAAAGATTTGGAGGGCAAACGTTTACAACTTAAATGGTTTTAATGACTTTAAATAGCAAATTTCATAGTAATATACTATGCAACATGCATCTTTCAATTCTGAATGTAAACCAGAAAACTGGATGTATCAATTTGATTGTAAACTACGAAATGAATTCGGAATTACGAAAAAAAATTCTTCAGATTATCAAGTTGCAGTTAATATTCATGTATTTACTTTTAAACTTGTAAAGTGATTTAATATTATCGATAATTGCTGTACTCGTGTTATTTAGCATGAAATTATGTTCTGTTTTTCATCTTATTTTGTACTCGTTTAAAAAGGGGGTGCTGATTGGGTAAATTAATATAAAAGCACGTGTTCGACTTGTTAAACTTTTTTCTTTGTAACTGAATTCAAATTATTTTTTTTTCAATCTAAATTTTCATTAGCATTTGCTTAAATATAATTAAATAATGCAATCAATCGTCTATCTTGACCAAGTGTTCTCCTGTCAAGTGTGTTGATCTATATGTACAAGTGATTAGCGATAATTAGCGGGATATCCCTCAGGGCTTTAAAAAATGATCAGGAGGACCCTAGGAATTATAATACAAAAAGCCTAAGGGTTATGCAATTACATGCAATTGATTATAATTGTTAACAAAAATAGCAGCGGCTAGAGAAATGAAAACTAATTTTGACAATGGCGGGGATCATTTTACGATGGCAGAAGATAACTTAAAGATGGCGGGGATCATTTGAAGGTGGCAGAAGATATTTTAAAGATGGGGGTGCGCCATCATAAAACAGGTCATGAATATTGGCTAATGATCGCTAATCACTTTTTACCTGTGTTTTTAATTCACACCTGACAGTGATCACAAGCTCAGAACTAATATTATAAAGAACTTAAAATTCAATGACAACTTTCTTCATTATTTAATTACTTTTCAGCAAAGACAATCAACAATTCTGATTTAAAATTAAAACTTGATTTAATTTACATAGAAAAAAGTTATTTTTCATGAGTGTAAAGTGTGCTTTATTTACTATGTATTAAATACGCCTGTGTGAAATTGTCTCACCAGATTAGACACTTGATTGTAAAATTCAAAATGATTTCATGCTAAATTAAACGAATGCAAATATTATCTGTTATATATATTCAAACACATTTAAAGGTAATTAAATCCTGTGATTTCCTGTCAAACAAAACAAATCCCAGAAATGAGTCTGGAATTACTCGTACTTTAGTATTGTCGTGAAACTTCCGGCTTTAATTTCGTCTTCAAAATCAAAAGAAACGTTAGCGATGTCTTAGAAATTTACCATTTTGAGTCATTAAAATCATTTCAATTTTAAACTGTTGCATCCCATTGTTCTTGAAAAACGGTAAGAAAATTCATGAAGTAAATGCCATGAAACAGTCAACACAAGTTCATTGATGATTTGAATCTAGTGTGAATAATTTCAACAGTTTGAAAAAAAAGGGGCCCAACTTTTAAGTCATCTCAAAATGACTGAAATCGTGTGAAAAAATTTCCGGATCCTTGATTTAAATAGCCAACTTCATCAATAAAGTTAGAAAATGTCAAGAGTTTTTGTATTAACAAAGTTATGACAAAAGGGAAATAATTCAAATTGTTTTGAGCTCTTTTCTTTATACAATTTTCAATAATGAATATGTTATCAGAAGTTGTTGACTAAACATGCACCAGGAAAGTGTGACAGAGGCAAACCAAAATAGATTCCTTCTGATTGAGATCAAAGATTTGTATTAGACCTGCATTTCAACAGCTGGTTTTACAATTGTAAAAAATATGCACCCTAGGACCTAGAATTCCTTCTCTGAACATCTCTGGACAGACACTCATATATACATACATATAGTGTTTACCTGAAATTTTAGGTAGATGCATATGTTGATTTTAAAAATTAAAACAAGAGAGCACATTTTTAATTAAGTTTTATCAATCACAGTTACCTGGATGGAAATTAAAAATTGTTAATCCTAACTTTTCACATCTTTGCAAGTCATCGATCAGCAACTCTCTACTTTTCTGCAATGTATTTTCATCAGGTGAGCCTAGGTTCATCAGGTATGAACCATGAGGTACAATGTATTGAGGCAGAAATCCATATACCTGTCACATATTAAATCAAATAAGATAATATACATATTTTGGAAAAAAGAAAAGACATAAAAAATAAATGCAACTTAAGTAGAACAATCTTAATATTACATTCTGGACCAACTTTTTTCCACATTTTTCACTGTCTATCTTAGTCATGAGGTATGTTTTCCACATTTTTCACTGTCTATCTTAGTCATGAGGTATGTTTTCCACATTTTTCACTGTCTATCTTAGTCATGAGGTATGTTTTCCACATTTTTCACTGTCTATCTTAGTCATGAGGTATGTTTTCCACACTTTACTCTATCTATCTTGGTCACAATATTTATTTTTTCTTTTAATCTATTTTCTGCATTCTTTCTTGGTGTATTGTTTTTTCTCTGTTTTCAGTTTTTTTTTAAACCAGGTCCAGCTGTCATACATTTGTACATGTTGTAAATTACTGACTTTTCTGTTCTGAATCATGTGTTTGGGTTATCTGGACTTTGTCCCTTTTAGTTTAATTTTAGTCTTCAATGGTAGGTAATTTAAGGACAATTCACTCACAATTTTTTTTTTATTCTACTAATTAAAATATCAAACCTGACAGGTTTCCCTGAATTTTTCAGCTGCTTTGTCTTCTAAAGGTTTACAAGCCCACTGTCTTTGTGATTTCAAAAACAAACCAAATGCAAAAGACTTCATAGCTACAGCTTCCAACACAGACTTGTATATTCCTCCTATAGTAATATATTACTGATTAGATCTATTGTGAAACGAATTTATACATATATACAATTGCTGCTTGCTATGACACTCACCAATTAAATAAGACTTAAACATATAAATTATGAAGTGAGATGAATGTAGGATATCAGATATATCCTCTCAAACACACATACAGTTTTTTCTTTAAGCAAGAAATAAACTTCTAAACAATCGAATCTACCAAAATCAAGTTTGAAATAACATTTCATTTTTAGTCTATTGTGCATACATTTTTGATGCATCCCCCCCCCCATAAAAAAGCCAAAGAAGTTTCAAAATATATTGGAGAGTGAACAACCATAAACAACACTACCTTACCTGCAATTGATACATGAGCTCCAACAAACTTTTCTTGATTCAGGTCTACTTTTCTCTCATCAACTACTACCTCAGAGAACTCTTCAGTTTTCTTTTTCTTTTTCTTTTCTTTTAAGTTTGCACTTGTGTCCTTTTCTCTATTATCTGTATTATCAGCTTTTTTCTTTTTTCCATCTAAGGTTTTCTTTGATTCCTTTTCATCAACATCAACATCAATATTTTCTGTCTTTCCTTCTGAGATTGATAGATGGAGATCAATCTTATCATCATTTGTGGTTTTCTTCTTTTTTCTGGTGTCTATATTAGGATCTTCTTCTTGATTTGTTTTCTCTTCTTTTCTTTTTCTTTCTTTTTTCAATTTAGTTTCTGTTCCTAGACTTGATAAGTTTTCATTCTCTTCTACTTTTTCAACTTTGCTTGGCCTCCCCCGTTTTCTCACATTTACAATTTTTGTTTCATGTGATTTTAGTTGCTTCTCATCTTCTGAAATATTTTCTGTTTTAATAACTACATTAGATGGATCTTGTTTCGTTCTTTCTTCCAACTTAAAGCTTTGCAATTTTGTGTTCTCTTTACTACTGCCTTTTGTCTCAAGCAACTTTTTCATTTCTTTTTTCTTTTTTAACATCTTTTTCTTTTTTGCCAATTTTGCAGTATCTTCTAATCTTACTTTGACTGTACCAGGTTTATTTTTTACTTTAACCTCTACTTTGATTTTGATTGTTCTCTTTTTAAGCATCTTTCTCTTTCTGATTGAAACTGGTGTTTTTACTCTGTCTTGTACATGCAGTTTTTTGGTCTGAACTTCTTTGATATGTTTTGATTCAACTTCAAAGTGTTTACATCCCTCATACTGGCCTTCTTTGTCACCATCCTCTTCATCTGTCATGAAGCCATCTTCATTACTCAATTCAACTGTACCTAATTTATCTCCATGCTTCTTTCTTCTTCCAAGAGACAACAGCTTTGGCTTCTTAATGACAATTTCTCCATCTGAAGTTTCTACTTTCTCTTCATTTTTTGATTTTGTCTTCATGTTAATCAATCTGAAAATAAAAGTTTCAAATTTCATACTACAACTTCTAAGACTAAATTATGGAGCTTTTGCTTACATTCTGAAAATAAACATGCTTTTCAGAGGATATTCTTTAAGTAAAATATACTTCTTAAAATATGCATACCTGTCAACCTCTCAAAGTGAACCTGCATTGAGTAAATAAATCTCAGGTCATAATGCGTACAACATTTTTTCAGGCTGAATCGAATAATGAAAATATATATATGTACATATAATTTATATAGTCAAGACATACTTTAACACAAAAAATACAATTATTTCAAACAAGTGTTATATTCAGCTGCAGCTGTCTTTGCATTCTTCAAAAGAACATGAAGAAGTGCACTAGATTAAGCTCAAATCAATTTAAATGGGTGTTTATTCTACATGATAGTAAAGCACTCATAATGTATCATTATTAAGGTTAGCCTGGAATTCTGTTTCTATTTTTCTAACTGAAAAGAAAGCTCTTTCGCTGTCAGCATTGCTGTTTGGTAAAACTAGTAATTTTTTTGAAATTTAATTTTTTTGACAAAACAATTAACCTACATGTAGGTATGTTTATAAAAAATGTCATGTAAACTTGACATTTCTCCCCCAAAAGTGCCAATGTCAGTTTCAGGAGAATTCAATTTTGGTAATTCTTCCAATGGTGCTAACTCCCGGTAAACAAATCGTAAATTTGAAAAACATATATTTCACTTCTAAATACTGGAAACAATACTGGTCAGAAATCTGGGTGAAAACGGGTCATTTTTCTGAATTCTCTGGTAATTTAACTACCCGGCGGGTATTTAAAAAATCCTGGGTGAGGGTGAAATTTACAGGTTCACCCGCAGAATGCAGGTCAGTTGACAGGTATGAACATGTGTAACGGTAGATCTGTCAGAGACTTGCAAATTCAGTGTCTTATAATTTGGCCTACGAACTGGGAATGACAAAACAATAAAAAAAAAAAACAGGATCCCTATGCAGGCATATTCTTTTCTTTAATTTTCACTTTTTAATTAATTTTCATTAAAAACTTCTAAGCATTTACTTGATATCTTAACCCAATTAAGAAACCTTCATTTTTATAGAAGGCTTTTTCATGCACTAGTTTTTTAACCAGAAAGGTTGAAAAACATAATCATAAAATTGAGAATGGAAATGGGGAATGTGTCAAAGAGACAACAACCCCACCAAAGAGCAGAAAACAGCCCAAGACCACCAAAGGGTCCTCAACACAGCGAGAAAATCTCACACCAGGAGGCGGGCTTCAGCTGGCCCTTAAACAAAAATGTGTACTAGGTCAGTGAAAATGGATGTCACACTAAACTCTGAAACATATAAATGAACTAAAATTAAAAAACATACAAGACAAACAAAGGCCAGAGGCTCCTGACTTGGGACAGGCGCAAAAATGTGGCGGTGTTAAACATGTTTAGTGAGATCTCAACCCTCCCATTATACCTCTAGCCAATGTAGAATAAACAAACACACAGCAATATGCACAGTAAAACTCAGTTTAAAAGGAGTCCGATTCTGATTTCAAAATAGGTAACAGAAGAAACTAAGCAAAATGACGGTGATAGTCATCATACATAAATTAACAAAGGACTACTAGCAGTTACTGACATGCCAGCTCTAGACCTCAATAAACTTGATTGAAAGATTATGTCTTCATCATATGAAAATCAAGCACAATCCCTCCCGTTAGGGGTTTAGTATCATACTATCATAAAATATATGAGAAGAACATTACCATTTTTATTGGGTTTTTTTATCATGTAAATTCATTGGGTTTCAAGCTGGAAACAACAACAAAAAAATGATGTTTCAAAATGTTGTTTGATGCATGTAACCAGTGGCAGATCCAGAACTTTTTATAAAGGGGGGGGGGGGCACTGACTGCCATAAGAGGGGGCCAGCTACAGTCATACTTCAGTGATTCCCTATATAATCAACCAATTATTTTCCCACAAAAGGGGGGGCCCCGGCCCCCCAGGGCCCCCCTGGATCAGCCTGTGGTAACAAGTCAAATATCTGACAAATGTTGAGTTTTGTCAAACACTGTTTTTTCCATGTTTTCACTCATAAGAAAAGTTTTGATGAACCCTAATGAAAAAGCATGTACCTCTATCTGCTGTCAAGGAACATATATATAATATATATACATGTACATTTTATATGTCCCTAGTATGCATGTATGGTTAAAGGAGGTATCAGTTAAATTTTGTAACTCCAAAAGAAAAGTTTGAGAACCCTAATGAAAAAGCATGAATATGTCCTGGTTATAGTGTGTGATAACGTTTTGTGAGGGAATTCGATGTTTGCTATACCACGTCTCATTTCAGCGCACTTTATGACAATACCAATTTACCAATCAGAATGAAATTTTTTGCAATGTTTTAAGAAATGATTTTACTTTGTATCCATGTATTATTTGTGAAACATCAAATGTTTTAAAAGGACGAATTTTCTGTATAAAGTCAATAATTATGTAGACTTTAAATACGCAAATGAAAGATCCGAAAACTATACCAATACAAAACGACATGTTTTGGAAATTATAGCAAAACTTTTTGTTGACAAATTTTCATTCGTAATTACAAAAAAATAAACTGAAAATATCTGTAATTTTCTTCCTACCCAGTTTACCCCTATTGCTTATTATGATGTGGACTGGTCATTGTTATTGAATCTTATACAATTTGATTGGATTAAGTTATTATTTGTTTACCTTCAAACCATTTATTTTTTTATACATGTATATTGATTAAATCAGAAGGTGCATGAATTTATGTACAGTAATTTAAGCGACCTTCAAACAGGACACTAGACGAGTCCATAATATTTTTTATCAATGAGACTAAAGGTATGAAACTATTATACCTTTTATTACATTATTTAAAATAATATAATGAAAGGTAAGAATTGCCAATTTTAATATTTTCACATAATTTTCTACATATAGAGTAGATAGATTATAATTTTTAATAGCCTATTCCAGAGAAAAAAGAGAAAGTTTACAAATAAGACGTTTCATTCCATTAAACAAATCATTTTTCGAAGAGAAATGCTGAAATACATTTTACGCACAGCTACACCAGGTAAAATTATTGTTTATCTTATCAAAAAAAAACATTTTTCAGTCTCATTATAAAGGTTATAATTACAATTAATCCCAAACAAAAATGTCAGTCAACAAAGTCGTAATATGTCCGATCTGCCTAATTTTGGACATCAGAATTTCAATACGATCGTTTTAAGGTCAATTTCGTCTACCTCACAAAATCTTGTTAGGCACTATGGACCTATTTAAGTGAAATTACTGTGAAAAAAAAAAGTACATGTAGATGTTGGGTATATATGCTAATGAGACAGCAACCAAACAGCAAAAAAGTAAGACATCTGTATTGTCTTTAAGTTTAAGAACAGTCTTACAGTCAGCAATCTAAACAATAGGCAATTAAATCTCTAAATTAATCCCCATAAATTTAGACATCATCACAGAATCAGTTGTCTTTAGTCTAAATAGTGTATAAAATTAAAAAAAAATATTAATAAACCTAGGACCAACAGCTAGATGCTAAATCTTGAAAAAAAATTCTTTAAAAACAAAGATTTGTATAGTGTCATTAGACTATTTTAAGGACAAATCCTTGAAGACATTAAAAGAAGAAATAAAATTACTGTTTATCAAGGCTCAACTTAACCTTTTTAAAAAAATGAATTATTTATACCACAGCTTGTCTTACGAGTACAGAAAAACCTGCAAATTATGCATGCAGCTTTCCTAATATTTTAAAGTGCATTTTTTTTGGCTGCAGGTGTCAAAATACCAAGCTGAGTCAAGTTTTTGACATGACCCTCAGATAGCTATTGTATAATTAATATTGACAGGCATGGACAATGGAGGGTAAAACAATAAGATGGGTTTTTCTTGCCATCATGATCTTCTGCACTGCAGCGATAGAAAAAAAAAACTCAAAATTCCCTAGAGCTTAATACTAACACCGTTCTCGCATCAAAATATTTACCTATTCGTTAAATCAGCCAAACATTTTATGATAGGATTATTGAAATCCTTTGTAATATCCCAAGGGACAAGGATTCAGAAAAAAAATAATTTGCAAACCCGCGGTTTTTGTCAGATTTTAACACTGAAGAGTTCTATTTCAAGAGAGATAACTCTTCCTCGTCTCTTTTTTTTTTTCGAAGCAATAGGCTTCTTGCACTGCTGACAACAGGGTGTATGTAGATCTTGACATTCTGGACATTCTTGCCACCTCCCCGTCAGATTTTCTCTAACTATTATAGTTTTGAAAATGACAATTAATCCATTGTACCCTTAGGGGACGACCATTTGATATTCGGGGGGGGGGGGGGCAGGAGGATTTTGAAAATAAATAACTCAGCCTTGATAATCACAAAAATAAATGGTTTGTTCTGTGGTAGTTTGAAAATAAATTACCTGACTTGCAATGTATTGAAAATAAATAACTCAGCAGGTCTAATCGAAAGTATGAGATGGCACCAGATTCTTCATAAATTCATCTTTTTTCCAAAAAAAAATTGGGAAACACTTCCCATATCTTTTAATAATAAAAGTATAAATATTATTTAAATATACTTGAAATGTCAGAAAATTGGTTTCATTTAACTTGAGGTTAATTGTCTCAGGAACACTTACCTCACTTTTATCAAATCAGGGCCGTAACTACATTGAGACAAATGCCTCATGTAGGAAATTTCAAAACCAAACCCTTGTCTCCATATCAAATTGTGTCCACCGTGAGTGCCTTGCAAGAAGCAAGTTCTGTTCTCCCTCAGACGTAGCCCCTGATTTTTCGGGATCAATGTTTCTTATTTATTTTTCTTTTGTTCATTGATTGCCCTTCTGTATTCTGTTAGTGTTGCATTCATTTTGTAATTTAGTAATTTTATTATTAACTTGATCATGAGTTTAAAAAATGCCGCAGCCACAGACTTAACTATGTGAAT